TAGGGGTATGGTAATGGGGGATGGGGTGAAGGAGGTGGAGGATGGGGTGGTGGGGGTTAGAGTGAGGGAGCTGGGGATATGGTAGTGGGGGACAGGGTGAAGGAGGTGGGGGACGGAGTAGTCGGGGACGGGGTGGTGGGGATGGGGTGACGGGGACAGGGTGAGGGAAAAGAGCTAAACCAAACTGCCATTTTTACCCAGATCTTGAAGACAAGGCATTGTGAGGTCTGCGTGGGTGTGGATCACACACACTATTCATAAATGAACATCACTAACTATATTTGAGTTTAAAAGGAGGAAAGTCAGTGAAAGAAACGTTGAACATTGGTCTCTTATATTTGCCACTGGAAAGATGGTGTGTAGGTGCCTCTGTAAAAAGCCTCATCACACCCATGAGAAGGGCTAGGTAGAGACTGTCTCTAGTTTCTGGCACACAGTCTTTTACCTGTGCTCCTTGAGGATGAATAAAGCTGATTGCCGTAGCAGCTGACCTCTGAGCCTTGGGCCCTTCCCATGGCCTTCCTCCCCCGTCTCCCATTCCCTGGGAAGGCAGGAGGAGGAGGTGGGACGTTCTCATCCACACAGACATTCAGGGGTCCAGGCTCCAAGCCGTCTGTCTTGAAGGTGAGGGAGGGAATACACTGGGGGCATCTTCCTTCCCCACCTTCCTCTCCGGAGGGTCACCTGCGTGCAGAGGAGGGACACACGGGCTAGCTCTGAGACCAGGACGGTTTGGTGAGCAACAGCTGTTCTGTTCCCTTCCCTCCCTTTGTCCTTCCCTCTGCCTCTCCCACCCGTCTCTCTTCTTCCCTATTTCTGTGGTATAGACTCAGGGAAGACAGCAGACACTGCATCTCGCTTAATGCCCAGCCAGCTCCCAGTGCCCAAGTCAGCCGGCCTCCCTTCCCACAGGAAATGCCCTGTGAAGGACCACAGGCCTTGCAGTGACCTTTGCTTCTGGCAGTTTCTTATTTTGTTCCCCCACTGGCTTGCTCACTGGGCGGAGTTCATTACTGAGGCTGGGAAGAGTTCCTGAGGGCAGAGGGTCTTCGTGAACACACAGCTGATCTTCATCACTTGTGGTCCTCGTGCCCTGTAAAGACACTGTACCGCATGTCGGGGTCGGGGGCTGTGAGTTATAAATGCTGAGCTCAGGGCCAGCAGCACTGGAACCCATACCCACAAGACGCCGCTCAGACACACGTTTTCTCCCTAAGGTGCAGCTCAGCCTTCCCTCAATAAGAACCACCACACACTTTAGCACCATGCTGGAAACCCATTTTTTAAAGTTTAAACAATTACTTCTATCCCCTCCCCCCTTATCTATCATCTATTGTGTGTGCATGAATGATGTGTGTGCAGGTGTTATGGCACACCTGTGGAGGTCGGAGGACAAGCTGCAGGATTTGGTCTCTCCTTCTACCATGTGCATCCTGGGAATCGAACTTACATCATCAGGCTTGGTGACCAGTGCTTTTTCCTGCTGAACTTTCTTGCTGGACCTGGAAATCTATTTTAAGTAGAAAAAATTCCCAGGAAGAAAGCACATAGAGTGCTTGAAAATCATGGCACAAACCAGCCTGCGGTGTGGACCCATGTTTATAACATGAGAGCTAAAACTAGGGGCTGGTGTTGTCTCAGTTGGCCTCATGTGGCCTGAGGGGCACGGGTCACTCAGACGTGGTTTTTGTTTTCTCCTGCTCTGTACATATGTGTAAGTGAAAGTATTACTTTAGGGGGTTACAAACAAATTCTCTTGGGTCAGCTTACCCTCAGATGCGGGCTGACGGCATTTTGATGTTTTCTGTTCCCTTCTCTCGGAGTCGCTTTCCTCTGTACCACATTTTTGCATCTCAGTTGCCCCCCGCCCCCCCGATTTGTGTGTGTGTGGAGGGCGCTGAGTATTGCTTTGGAAATAACTGACATCATTTTGGGGCTGGGCGGGAACTGGATTTTTTTTTTTTTTTTTACAGATTGGTGTTAACCACTTGACTACAAGATAGTTTTTGTTTTTATGTGTATATGTGTTTGTTTTTAAAAAAAGTTTTAATTTTTATGTGTGAGTGTTTTGCCTGCATGTATGCAAGTGCACCACGTGTGTGCAATGCCCGCAAAGTCAGAAGAGGGCATTGGCTCCCCTGGAACTGAAGTTACAGATGGTTGTCAACCACCATGTGGGTGCTGGGAGAGGAACTCAGGTCCTCTACGAGACCAGCCAGTGCTCTTAACCACTGAGCTATCGCTCCAGCCCCGTGTTTGCATTTTTGAGTCAAGGGCTCATTGTAGCTCAAGCTGATCTCAAATTCTCTATGTAGCTAAGAATGACCTTGAACTTCTAATCCTTCCACGTCCACGTCCTGGGAGTGCTGGGATGACAGGTGTGCACCACCACGTCCAATTCGTGTGGCGCTGGGGATGGAACCCTGGGCTTTCTGTGTGCTAAGCGAGCCCTCTACTGAGCCACATCCCAGCTTGTGGAAAGTGCATCATGTTGATCCTTCCTGGACGTGCTCAGCCTGTGAATTCATCCGTTGTTCTTGTAAAGCAGTTTTCCTGTGTTCTGCATCATGTTCTATGTTTTCCAATGGGTTCCCTTCTGTGTTGGGTTCTAACCGGCCGCACGCTGGAGCCCTCTCCTTGTGCATGATTTAGTGCCTGCATTGCTTACTCTTCTGTGTCTTTGTGGGATTTTCCAGAGCCTTTGAGTGTTGCACATTGAGCTAGACCTGTCTGTTGCAAGAAATTTCTAGCCTTAGTTGGGATCGTCAGATTGTCTGATTTGTTTTTTTTAAATTTTTAATTTTTTTTTATTTTATGTGTATACACGTGTTGCCTGCATGTAGGTCAGTGCACCCGTGTCGTGCAATGCCCATGGAGGACAGAAGAGGCTGTCAGATCCCCT